ATGGACAGAAAACATGTTTTGTGACATTTGAACAACCTCTATATGAGAAAGCTGTTGATATTGTAGTTTCCCACCAGTACAAAAAGTACTCTGGCTTCAGTTGTTGTCAGACTTGGTGGTTTCCATCTCCTTATGTCTTTCATGGGTTCGGTCGGTTATATAATGGATGGCAGTGGATTGATAGAGCTACGGTCACTCATCTATGCCTCTGACTCTACTGAAAGAATATTGACAGGTCAAGCTTATGCAAGAGCATTGAGGGCTCATACTCTGACACAGATAGCAATAGCTGTTATTGCCTTGCAGAAAGTCAGCCTGGATGAAACAATTAAAGCTTGTCTGAAGACTTTGTATAAGGATGTTCAAACCAACTATGTGATCCCTGATGAACTTCCAGGAATTGCCAATGTCACAAATCTTGTCGAAAAACTGGCTGCAGTTATGGAATTTGAATCGTCTCAAAGCAGAACTAACAAGTTGTGGTGTCAATATTTTGAGCAAGTTTCTTTGATACACCAGTTCATTCAAGCTGAAAGGATCGAAGACTGGGATCTTCATCTTGATGCTGCCTGCAAGATGATACCATATTTTCATGCTGCAGGACATATTGCTTATGCCAAAAGTGCCCATTTATATGTTCAACAGATGTTATGTCACAACTGGGAGATATTATGTCCAAGGATGAATTTGAAGCTTTTACCAGGTTTGGTGGTTTTACTGTCGGGCGAAGTGACAAGATGTGGGCTGGCATCTAGACAGACATGACAATTGAACAGGTTCTCATGCGGGCGATGAACACATCCGGTAGTCTGACGAGGACTGACAGACAGTGTGTTTGCGCAATGGATCTTAGCAATGCCTGGTTTACTTCGAGGAATTCTGTGGGACCAGATTTTGTACTGTTGACCAGCACATAGAACAAAGGACATCTAGAATTGAGAGGGACACCAGTGACGTTAACAAGCTGATTGAATGGCTATCAACTCATTCTCCATTTGAACAAGGACATGAACTGGTCTCCTTGAGTAGTGGAATTGTAGGGAAAGAAGACATTACTTGCGATTCTGCACTTGCAATTGGAGAATCTGCTTTGAAGAATATAGTTGGCAAAAGCTTTGGAGATCTGCATATTCCAAGAAAAAACTGAGTACTCCCCCTATCTGTCATGAACAACTCAATCAAAATACAGAATGAGGTTATACCTGTCAATACCATGCAGCTTTTTCATCGCATCCTGTGCCTCATGAAAACAGATGATGACTTTTTATCCTGTTTGAAATATGAACTTTCTCCATGTCCTCTATCACTATTTAAAGAGTACTCAATGAGAAAAACAGAAAAATCTGTCATGTACTCTGTCATTGATTCTTTGTCAGGCAAACAAAGCCTTCCACATGATGAGGAAGTTCCTCCAGATGCTATGTACATAGTTGATGGTGGATACTTGCTGAGAAAAGTGATATGGCTCCAAAGCAGAACATACAATGATGTTTATGATGCTTATCTGACATATGTCAATAGACACTTTGGAAACAATTGCATCATTGTGTTTGATGGGTATGGCTAGTGTGTGTCCACAAAAGGTGTTGAACAGAGTCGGAGAGCAGCCAGATATCTGCACTGATATTGTCTTCAATTCTGAAACACCATTGACGATCAAACAGGATAAATTCCTGCCCAGTTGTAAAAACAAGTCACATTTGTGTATTTTGAGGTAAATTTGTTAGTTGGGACGGCTGGGTGGATTTCATTGCTAGGACACATGCCAGGTAGTAGGAATCTAGTAGGCTAGTGTTAGGTACAGTAGACTGGAGGTAGGATGAAGTGTTATTTTAAGAGGGTGGCTTATGTGAAGTTAAGAGGGTTAGGTTAGGAGAAAGTAAGTTAGTTAATTAGTAAAATATTTTAAGTGATTGTGTTTGTATATTTTTCTCAGGAATTTGTTAGACTTGGTTTATTGTTTATGTTGTTTTTGCTGAGAAATTTATTTGAGAAATTTGTTGGTTTTTAATTGCTCCTCTGCATCCATGAACTGGGAACAGGACGGCTTTAGTTCTGAGTACACAAAACACAACGCAACAGAAATAAAGAAGTTGTGACTATTTTATCAAGCATAATTGGTCTTCTAGGTTAGCAAAAGGTTGCATAGGGTAGCCATGTTTGCACTATGGATTCAGTTAGTATGTTATGTAGGAAGGTTTGTAGAACATATCTGCCAAGTTTCATTTCTTCATAATTTTTCCCCGACCTTTTTGCCTATGTAGGGTTAGTGAAAACCTGTTCAGCAGCTTTAAAAACATTTTCTCTCTCTGGTACAAGTATGTTATAAGAAGCTACTCAACTGAAGTAAGGTCACACTCAGAAGGGGTATATTAATGGAAGTGATATGACACCACAAGTCAAAAGTAGCACAAACTCAGTAGCTGGAATTATGATGAAGGATTTGAGTCTTTTCTAAATTTTCATGAGCTTCCACAGCATTGATCAGAAATATAATAGTAATTCTTTATCAGAGATATAATAGTAATTCTTTATCAGAAATATAATAGTAATTCACATGGAGGTATCTGATGATATTTTATTATTCTACATATTGAATTTCAAGCCTATCCAAGGAAGAATACTTGATATAAGCAATTCTTATGATGAACTACTGTCAACTGTACGAAGTGTACTTGAGGCAGGACCCTTCTTCCCCCTGGAATATTCTAGCAACGATAAATGAGTGAGAAGTTTCATATGAATTATAGAACAAAAGTTATCATTGTTTATAATTCTAAGAATACTACTTCTGTTACAATCACCTCTCCAGGTCAGAAATGTTGGAAAGAAGTCAGGTTTCCCCACCTTTTCAACGGAAGTAGCTGAAAGCCGATGGTACTATTGCATGGACAAGTAATTTATATGTAGATTACAACTAAGAGGACTTTGGAAAATCTTAAATTTAGTTCTACCACAAGTATAGTCTTTATGGCAGTGATGTAATAGATGTATTATTCTTAGAATTATGTTCAGTGATAACTATTGTTTGATTTCTGGATGAAAAGTTCAATACATATCAGTCTAATGCTGAACTGGTGCTTTTTGATTATTTGAGATCTTATTTTTTATCTTTCTCTTTTAGTTTCATTACAAGTTTACTTTACTGAAAATAAGGGTGGCCTCCTTCTCAGAGCATATTTTCAAAACCTTTGAATATTTCCTGATCTAGTGGTGATCTTTTGCCATTTGATGATTTTGGATATGGAAAAATTACTTTCTTCTTCACCGAACAAAATGTATTCAATGACAATGGAGCTAAACTCCATTTCTTAATTGCCCTAGGCTTCGGAGGATGTTGATATGTCATTTCCAGTTGACCACATAACTGAGAGCAGGCATCTTTTTGTTGCGAAGTTGTATGAATATATTGTAACGGAACGGCCAAGGACTTGTCGAAAAAAAGTAGAAAAACTGCAAAAATAAAATGGATGCTGCCACCAGTCACTAAATGTGGCAAAATAAATACCAGAGCTCGGGGATCAGGTTTAGTGAAAATAAATCACAAGGACCTAACAGATAGTGAATGAGGAAACTGGTGAAATGCAGAAGGATCACACAACAAGTAGATAAAGTTCAAATAACGAGTTTATTTATAAAGCATCGAACTGAAAATACAAGGTCTCGACACGATACCGACAGTCATCTGAACTGGATACCTTGCTTGTCATCCCGTGTCCTCGGGGTTGTACTCTATCCCAGTCTCAAATGAGAACCCTGGGCTGTAAAACAAATTAACTTAGAAGATAATGTACAATAAACTATAAAATTTTAAAGTGTACAAACTTGCAGCAACCAGAACTGGATCCAGATAATATAAACAATACATTCCAGAAGTCACATGACCCGGGAACGAAAACCAAGGAGGCCACACCTCCAACAGCTGTCAAAATGTGATACAAGTAAGAATGAAGCCAAATCCTAATTATAACTTGCCGTGAAGTATGTTGGTTTCGTCTTTAGACGATCCTAATAATCCCTGGTGGAAGAAAATCCTTGGCAGAGACAGCAACTTGATAATGTAAACTTATGACCTTGGACCCCCCCAGATCACGATGACAATTAGCGACTGTCAAAGCATTGAATAAACTGTAAACTGTAATATTTCACACTGAGGATAATCCACTCCCGACTTGTGGTTGATAACTGTAACTGTGACTGTCTCTGTAACCTGTACATTTGAATCATTACGATCCTGGGATATTCCGTTGGAATGAATCTCGATTGACTGTCGCATTCTCAGAACTGTCAGACGAAATCCAGACGTCAACAAAGTTAAAAATAACTAATCCACATCTAGATACTTAGAGAGCAGACCATGTGTTGATAATAGCCATGTTAATTAAAAGTTATACAATAAAAATCTCTTATAATGCAAAAAGTTGAATGTAGCTGTGACGTAACCCTGGAACCCTACCTTGCTTCTCAAAGTCAAAATTGCCTCTCCGAAATTAACCTTGACTGGTCTATTTATAGGTGACCTAAGGTCACATGATACACAAACATGACATCAGAATATCCAAGATGGCGACTAAACATGACCTACGTTACTTGTCCTGTAATTTGCTTGGAAGCAGACTGCACAAAGATATGCAGCATGAGGCTGGTACCTTTGCTGGAATTACTTTGATGGCTGAGAGGGTGATTATCTCAGTACTTGAAGACCTAGATTAGACATTCATTTTTGTTACATTATTTAACTGTACTTTGATAGTTGTTGGTCAGGTGAGTTGATTGGTGTTATAAAAATGGATAAAGATATATGTTTCTGGTGGGAATAATTTGCAGCATGGGGTAAAAGATTGTGTTTGGATTGCTTCACCACATTTCTAGGTAATACATATTGACTGAAGGATGATAATCCTGACCTTTATATCTTGAAGCCTTTGCTTACAGTTGAACATTCGACCAGGTGAGATGTGGTAACATGGTACTATTTGTATGGTTCATGCATGTTTCAGGTCAGCTACTCACAATGCCTGGGTGTGATTGGATATTCTGTGTTGCCACTTCTGATCACAGGAACCATCATACCTCTTCTCAAGTCCTTTGATTATCTCACCACAATATTCAAAGTAAGAGTTATATTTATTTCCTATCATAAATCTCATCACTTAAAAGATTGTAGTTCAAATTTCTATTTACTTTATAAATATATTGAATATGATATATTGTTATCTTATTAACAATCTGAAATTTCTCGGGTCTACATTTTGTATGTTTTGGCACTGGCCCTATACCTGTGTCCTGTGGGGGCGCGGTGGGCAAACTGGCTAAAGCGCCAGGCTAGTGATCCAGCGAGCTTGAGGTGACGGGATCAAGCCCACCTGTGACTGGGTGTAAAAACCTTGGAGTCAACTTTGTGTGTAGACTCTTTCAATGTTGTCACAACCCCTAGTGTACAGTACACAACACTTTGCACTCAAAAGAACCCACGAACCCACGTTGGTATATGACCAGATGGTGGCCACATGAATACATGCAAACACCTAGCCTATTAGTAACAAAGAACTGAGTATTATAAGCTTACGCATTAATCCCTTTCATTTTTTTATAACCAGTTGTAACTTCTTAGTGGATGCAGTAATCCTCTCTACTCAACTACATATCCTTATAACAACAGCCGTTCAAGATTAGTAGATACATAGATAGATGTGAAAAAATGTTAAAATCTGTCAACTGAGTTTGTTGATGAGTGCTTCAAGTATGGAAATAAACTGATAAAAATAAAAACTGCTGTTGTCTTCTCATTAGGTGTGCTCTCATCCGCATAATCCGGATTATCCTCTTCTAACAACTCGTTGATCCTTCATTGTCCTCCTGGTTGTATCCCATAACCCCTACATGCCACTACCCCTACAGCCCAGTACCCCTACAATTAGTTAAAACAACACACGGCATTTACCTGTCTGGCATAATGAACTGACCCAAAGAGAGATTAGTGCATAGAGTATACAGATGAAATCAAGGGAGGGATTAAACTGTTCTTTAGTGTTTTGTGTCAAGGAAATTTGGGATTTACTAAAAGTTGTTTTAGTTTCATGATGAAAGATAAACCTCTGGTGAGTAAAACAGACGACGACCTACTCCAGACTCTTCAGACTCCTCAAGGATGAAGTTCAGCGGAGACTCAACAGGCCGCTTGTCCCATCCTGTATCCAGACAGACTTCGAGTTAGCAGCAATCCATGCCTTAGAGACTGTGGATTAACAGTGCAACAGACCGTAAACTATGTTGTTATAACCTGTAGGGGTAGTGGCATGTACCGTCCTCCTAATCCTTTATTAATTGGCAAAATGAAACTAGTCTCAGGGCGCCGACATTTTTTTTCCACTCAACTGTAAAGTTTGGTCGAAAGGTTGGCGTTATGAGCCTGAACCATTTATTTACGTCTCGCCTCAGCATAGTACAAAAACAGCTAAGTACATAAACACTATATCACAGTAAAAAGCTGAGCCATTCCGTACGGAATGATGAGAGACACTTGTGCTAAAAAAATGTATACAGAGTATAATATATGAATATTACAAATATAACCAAAAAGAGTACAATTTACATAAAGAAGATATATACAAACTTACAGTACGCTTTTTTAGAATATTAAGGCAGGTTTTGGCGGATAAAAACAATACATCTGGACAAGATAGAATAAAACTAACTTTTTCAACATCCCCCAGATTTAAAAAACATCTAAAAGACTTGTACATTTAGATAAAAGTTGCAATCGCTCATCAGCATACAAAGGACAATGCAATAAAACCTGACACTCATCTTCTATAAAATCTTTACAGTAAAAGCAAATTCTTTCAGTTAAAGGACAACCAACATAATGGCCAGTTTCGATTCTAGTTGCGCTACCCCACATCTAAACAAAGCTAGTGCTTTTCTCATAGAACGCGACATATTACTATTAACATACAATTCACTGCCAAAATCCAACTTAAACGTACATTATGTGCGTAACTTATTAACTCCCCTACCAGTTAAACTACCAACTTGTAAAAGGTCCTGTTTCCATTTATAAACGAAATCGCTAAAAACAACCTGTGTAACTTTTGAAACTACAAAAGGAATATGATACACAACGTTGATATCCTTAAAATGATCCAGTTTTAAATCCGACAACTTCTTACAAACTCTAAAATTCCAATTCCGCTTATATCTTAACGCTAAGTCATGACTCCATCTAAATATCTTACTTGTAACTCGATTAAGCTTTAAATGACAGAGACATCTGAAAAGCCTCGACACACTCCTCCACTGACTTATACTTGTAGGGTACCAGCCCATATCTCCCATAACAGCATTATTAGGAGCAAACTTGTGCAAACCCGGAAAAAAACGCATAGCTCTGTTATGAACAGCATTAATACAGGGGAAACTATAACTACCCCATAGTGCACAACCATAATCAATAGTAGACCATACCATAGAGTGATATAACTTAGAGTAAGTTTGAAATTGCATACCGCCTAAAAGCTTATACTTGGTTATAAAGCCCTGCAAGCTGAACTCGCTACAGCTTTAGCCATGAGACCATAATCTAGATGCTCTGATAAAAGAAGACCTACATAAGTATAACTGTCAACAACTACTAATTGCATATCACCACAAAAAAATAAAACGTCAGTTCTGACAACTGAATTGGATAACCTTAGACTTAGAGCAATTAACCATCATTTTGTTACAAACAGTCCAGTTATGTAGACATTCAAGCATTACATTAAGATCATTCTCACACGCAACAATTAAAACAATTTCATCTGCATATGCTAATATACCAACATTACTACCATTAATATCAACACCCAACTACAAATTTTTATGTGTAACAATAAGATCATTAATGTACCGTACATATTAAAAAGTACGAGTGATAAAAGACACCCTTGTTTTAAACCATTTTTTACATCGAACCATTGTATATAAAAACCATTTAGGTTGACAGAACATTTAACATTTTTATAAACTGACCTAATTGCTTTGAACATATTTCCATTCACACCAATTGTATCCAGTTTACACCACAGCAGTGTTCTGTCTGTACAATCGTAAGCCTTCTTAAAGTTGATAAAAGCAGTGAAAGTCGATTTACGTTGAAACTTCCGAGTTTCAATTATAGATGTAAGTCTTGAAATATGGTCTGTAGTTGGGCGACGTTTTGTAGAACCATTTTGTAAATCATTGATAAGTTCGTTTTCCTCTGTGTACTGATATAGTCTGTTATTCAGAACCCCACAGTATAGCTTGTTGGATGCACTAACAAGTGTGATCCCGCGATAAGACATTGGGTCTCTCGGGTCGTCAGCTCCAGACTTTGGGATAGGGGTAATGAACCCCTGGGCCCAGCTGGAGGGTACATGACCAGTCTCATAACACGTAGAAAAGAGTATAGCCCTGACCAGTGAGTCAGGCTCATTATAAGAGTATGGGGGTGCATTTTCTAATCCCAATTAGCCTACATTGTTTTTGTATAGAAAGAAAAGAATGAAAATTGTTTTTTACAGCGTGTCACACCCTGGTACAGAGTCCGGCTTCTTTAGGCCTATGAGACACAATGAAACATAGATAAAAACCATGATAATATTAAAATGGCACACATGCAATATGGGTTGAAGGTGAATTGAGATGTAGGCGAATAGAGACGAAACCTCTCGTGCAACCATGAATTTTGTTGTTATTGCACTTCTTAACTTTCACATGCCACTCAAATTGTCTCAACTAATCTTTGTGCAACTGTCTGTTGAAGGAAGTTATGAGATTATGCTCACTTTTACAGCCTAAATTAAATATGAGTGTTTGTCAAAATAATGTAAATTAACAACATGACTTCAAAACATGGAGACTAATTTTTGATGGGAAATATACATATTAAATGCTAAAGTATAAATATTTATAGTAACTTTCTGGGGTTTTGTTTACAATAAATGTGTCAATATGGTGGTAGACAGAAAGTGACTGAAGTGGTTCAAAAGTGGGGTAACAGTATAACAACTATACTGCAACAGTCTCAATCTAGTAAAAACGTATTGCAAAGATGGTGCAAAAGTATCTTGAAAATGGCTCAACATTTCAGAGTTCTAACCTGAAAAGTGTCATGATAATGCGACATTTGTGCTGCATTAGTGGGAAGAAAAAGTGAATAAGATGACAATGTATCATGTTATGAATGGGGAAAGTTTATGGATGTCAACTTCTGTAATGTGAGGCACACAGTAAAGAAGTTGACATCCTTAAACTATCCCCCTTTACAGGCATCTCTTCAAAGACATTTCATGTTATGTATATATTTTTATGAAATACAATATCATATTAATACAACTATTTTGCTTTTTGTATTTTTACAGCTACTGGGTGTGCTGTGGGCAGCTTACAGTGCAGGATCACTGCTTTGTGTGCAAGAACTACAACAAAAGAAACCATTAATATTGTATCCGGTTTGTCTCCTCTACATTTATTTCCTGTCACTCTATACTGGCGCTTGAGATGTTCCTGTAACATTACTATTCCATAAAAACTGTGTCTCTGTCAAGAAAGTCTTGTATTTCTTTTTTTTTAACTGTTTCTATGAGTCATTTAAAATGGAGTCAACTGTGGTACCGGTACATGAAAGCTATTTTAGATACTATTTCAATTTCTATAGTTCGACCTTCTACTAGGGTTTGTTAGGCTCAGTATAGCAGTGAGCCTAAGTTTACTTAGACTGGATATTGAAGATGCTGTTCACTACCTTTTCTCATGTGGAAATTATCAAAATTTAAGAACAAATATGTGTTTTTATATTCAAGGATTTCATATTAAAGCAGTAGTTTTAGGGTAAATGGCCCAATGAATCAGTTAACAGTAAATCCTAAACTCAATTCACCAGGTTATTATTAAAAGTAAGCTCTTCCTGTGAGTATCACCACAACATATATACCCATATATACCCGATGTACTTCTAGTTTTACATTTTATTTTTTTATTTGCAGCTGCAGGCATTACTAGGCATAACCAACTCCTTACATTAAAATATATTTTATGTTATCACAGTTATGACATTGTGTATAAGTGTCCATGTCCCCAGTATTATTCTTTTACTTTCTAGTTGCTGCGTTTTTCATTTAATTATGTTACGTATCCAGCTTATGTAAATTATGTGTACTGGAGGGGCGTTAATATATGCCTTAAGGCATCAGGTTTCTGTTTTGCAAAATAAAAATATGCTTAAAACAACTCATTGCTAAATATAAACTCATGACTTTACAAACTGTTGCATACATAGAAACACAAACTTGTGAAAGCTAATTATATACTAGGGGTGTATTTCTGAGTTCTTTTGCATATCAAAGAAAAATCAATTTATGTGATGACAGATCAGTGTTTTGTACAATTTTGTTCAATTACGGTTTCTTTCAATCATTGCCCTTAAGTAATGTGCATTGTTTCTTGAATCATTAGATGTGTACTTGAGGAAATGTACGACAGTATGATCTCTATTTCTTGGTTATTGTGGTAGAAAATCACACATAATAATATTGATTATGGTGTTTATGATGGGATGATGGGATATACAATGAAAGTACTTGATTACCTTGCCTGGAAACCTATCACTGCCAAAGTGTTTATCAACATTTGAACTATTTTCTACCCACCTTAACCTCTGACATCAAGTTTTGTTTGAATGATTCAAGTAAGCACTCCCTTTGTGCTCTCGGAGATCCCCTTTTCATTCGTTTATGCACATGAAGGGAATATGCTGCATGTAGGCCTCGTCATGTTGTAGCTCTGAGAACAGAAGAAGCAAATGTTAAGTATTATGTATGTATACCATTATGTAAAGTACCAGCGCCTTGGGCATGCACTTGTGCATGGATATGTGCTATATAAATATCCAATAATAATAATAATAGTAATAATAATAATACTTCTCCAAATTGTCGATTCCCTTAAGGCAAAAATAAAGGTTTGGACTGAAAGAAAGAAAAAATGGGAAAAGAAAAATAAATTCATTAAACAAAATAAAGTTTTTAGAAACAATGAAAAGCACTTCTACAGGCAACTGAAAGCAAAGGGTGATGGTGAACATGACAAACGGCCCCCCCATGGATGCCAATGAAAGGTTCTGGAAACAGTTGTGGTCTGTACCCGGCAACTGTAACCTTGAGGCACCATGGGTCCGTGATAATGACCATGCAATGCATGAGAAGGTAACTAGGTCGTTTGTCTGTCACATCTCACCAGATTGCCTGAAAAGTGTTATAAAAAAGTCCAAATCAAATACAGCTCCAGGGCCTGATGGCATTCGAAATCGGTATTGGAAACTGTTCCCCTGTGTCCAAACACCATTACTACACTGTTTCAATACTCTTGTGGACACAGGTGATGTTCCTCCATGGTTCTGCAAAGGTCGCACAATACTTCTCCCCAAGAAAGGAGACTTGACTGATCCCAAAAACTTCCGCCCTATCACATGTTTGAATACACAATACAAAATATTCACAGGGTGTTTGACAAACCTCGTATCATCTTACTGCTCTTCCAATGATATAATTTACAGAGAGCGGAAGGGAGCAAGAAAGGGATGTTGGGGGTGCAAGGATCAACTTCTTGTACAGAAAATGATTTTGGAAGAGGCTAAAACATATCACCGCAACCTTTCCATGTGCTGGATTGACTACAAAAAAAGCATATGACTCTGTCCCTCACGAATGGATTCTGAAGTCTCTTCATTGTATTGACCTCCCTGAGCGACTACTTGATTTACTCAAGTCTTTAATGAGTTGCTGGTCGACTCAACTTGAGATGTACTCGCTGGGGCAGGTGCAGACTTCGGAATCTATTCCAATCAGAAGGGGAATATTTCAGGGGGATTCCTTTAGTCCTTTGCTTTTTTGTCTGTCTTTAAATCCTTTGAGCTTTCTGCTCAATAAAGAGGAGGGTTACCATCCCGGACCTCCTCAGCACAGATCCCCAACACCTCTTACTCATCTTCTTTACATGGATGATATCGAGCTCCTTGCCAAAGGAGATACCAATTTGAAAGAACAGGTTCTCCTTGTCGAGTCCTTTTCGAATGATATTGGCATGACATTTGGACTCGACAAATGTAATACTCTTCATTTGAAACGTGACAAGGTAGTTAATGGTGGATCGGTCAAGTTACAGGGGGGAGGAGTTATTGAGCATCTTGTGGAAGATCAGGCCTACACCTATCTTGGAATGCAAGTTCGAGACAAGCTCCAGAGTGCCCAAATTCAAGACAAACTTCAGGCCGAGTACAAATCTCGCTTAAAGAAAATCTGGAGCTTAGAGCTAAATGCTCCAAACAAGGTCAAAGCCACCAATACCTTTTTTGCTGTGCCAGTCCTTTCCTATTCGTTTGGAGTAGTTGATTGGACAAAACAAGACATCCAGAGTCTTGACCGCCTGACCAGAAGGATCATGTCTGATAACAGAGCCCACCACCCTCGTTCCTCTCTTAACCGTTTATATATGCCAATCAATTCTGGAGGTCGGGGTTTGATTAATGTGGAGGCTCTTCATGATAGAATTTTATTGTGTACTTTGCACATATCTATTTATCTGATGATCCTCTGGTGATGCAGGTGAAGACTCATGATGAAAGCAAGGAATTCCACAGTTACTTTAAGCGTGCCAAGGTTGTTGGACAGAATCTGAAATTTGAGGTTGATTTTGTTGATGGCATTGTGCTGCTGGACGGTACAGCAATGGGAGTAAACCAGGTGATGTCCTTCACCAAGTCTGCCCAGAGTCGGTCTTTTGTGGAGAAGCTTTCTGAGAAGCCATTGCATCGTGTGTACATGCAGTGTGTGGAACAGAATAGCAATCCAACTGACGCCTTCGCCTGGTTGAAGTCGGCTGGTCTTAAATGTGAAACTGAGGGGTTCCTTTTTGCTGCTCAGGACCAGTCACTTCCCACTCGTAATCGCCCAAATGTGATTCTTAAAGAAAATATCAATATGAAATGTCGACTATGTAATGAATTTACAGAGACTGTCCAACATCTTGTCAGTGGATGCCCTTCTTTGGCACAAACAGCATATCTTAAACGACATGATGGCATGGCTCGCTGCTTTTACTACCGTCTCTGCCATGTCTGTGGCTTTGACTCCGAGGTCCATCCATGGTATGACCCTGGACATGTCCAGGGCGTCATGGAAAATTATGCTTTCAAACTTCTTTGGAATAGACCCATATACAGCCTCAGAAGAATTCCTGCCAACAAACCTGATCTTGTCCTTTTTGATAAAGCCAATGAATTTATTTATATAATTGAATTTTCTGTCCCTTTTGACAGCAATGTGAATGGCAAGATTCAGGAAAAGCATGATAAATATGTGGACCTCGCCTTTGAAATGTCTCGCTTGCATCCCAAGTACAATGTCGTCAGGCTCCCAATTGTTCTTGGTGCCCTTGGTTTGGTACCTCCTGATTTCTTGGCGCAGATCAGGAGAGTGCCCGGGTTCTCCACCGGGAGTACAGCCCTTCTGACACTCTGGGTAATGCAGAAGGCTGCAGTGTTGGGGAGTCTTCATATTCTCCGGAAAGTTCTTGGTGGGTTCGACTAGGCAGTGTTTCCTGGGAGAAGTCCTATTCGCTGTCTAGGCTGCGTGTAGAGGGGGTGAGGGCCCTGAGCTGATGATGAGCCTTACCAGCCTGACTGTGCCAGGATCACCTGATCCCTTTCTGCTGCATACTATCTTTAATCTGTAAAACATAAATTTTTAAACTTATTCTATCTCACGGTATGCACTTCTCTCTTGATTCGACACTGAGTGGAACGATGTAAACTTTTTCCTTAGGCCTCTCTTTTCCATCCGCCCATGCACTCCATGCTACCCTCATTATAAGACAGCTTCCTAGCTCTCATGCAAAGCATGCGGCATGCACCACTAGCTGCCCACGTGACTATCTCCGAATCATCATTCTCTTTCTTGTCGCACATGAGTGTGGACATATGTTACTTTGCTCAACGTTTCAACTTAGTCTACAACATGGGGAAAGTTGACCAGCCATAGAAGAGGGAAAATGCTCCTGGTGTAATAAGCGTTCTCCGCGTGTGATCCTCATGGATATTGTATTGACTATATGGGACACTGTAAATGGGACTCTCGTTGCAAGGTTCTTACTTGGTGACTACACTCGGGTTTGCGCTTGCCGTGTTGCTGACAGGGCTCGTTATGCCGCTTCACTTGACGGACCCAGTCCCTCCAAGAAGGAAAGTTTTAGCGTCCTACTTTGTCTGCTCGGCGGTCACAGTCCCCTCACTGAATGAAGAGGATTTAATGAGAGCGTCGTCAGATTCTTACTTATTGGAAGGCATTCGGCTGAGCTCTCAACATTCCAGCCCGAGTCACTTCATCTTCGACCACGTCTTGGGTAGACCGCCACCACCCCTCAGGAGACCTCTACACATCGGGACCTTCGAACCACGTTCTCTGTCTCTCGTTCACCAGACCAGTTATCTTGGCGACCTGGCTTATCAACCTGGACAAGAATCAGCTGATCGCTACACCTGACTGCGCAGAG